GATGTAGCCTTTACTGCATCCAGTTTGCCACCCCAGGTATTGGGAATCCCTATTTTATAGATGATTGAGTATTCCCTGTTTTGATAAAATAAGGTAAGGTAATTTAAGAATCTTTATAAAGTGGAGCTTGTAAACCTAAGTAACCAATAGCTTGCTCTGAAATTTTGTGTCTGTGTGACTCATTCTTTTTCAACTTTTACCTAGATATTTATAACTCTTTAGAATTTGTAATTAGAGAGGGATTGACATTTCTAATTCCAAACTGATATATTATCAATCTCCAATTATTATGGGCAAAACCCCACTTAAATAATTTCTATAAGAAATAACAGAGTATGTAGAATTTTAGATTTGAGTAGTACTATGTTTTTCTCATTCAACCTATTTTTTTTTTAGCTGAGGAAATTGAAGACTAAAGAAGTTGTTACATGTCCAAAGTAGCTGATGCTACCTGTAAACTGAAATCATTTTTTTTATATATTCCTTAGCATGCAAAAGATGGCACACACTGTTTTAGTTATCCATAGCTGTGTAACAAATTACAACAAAACTTAGGGGCTTAAACCTGCAAGCATTTATTATCTTACAGATTCTGTGGATCAAGAATCTGGGAACAGCTTAGCTGAGTGCTTCTGACTTATGGTCTCTCATGAGGTTGCACTCAAGCTGTCAGCTGGGGCTGCAGCCTTATCTGAGGGCTTGACTGAGCAGGGAGAATCTGCTTTCAAGCCAACTCATGAGATTGTCAGCAGGCCTCAGGCCCTTGTCATGTCTACCTTTCCACAGAGCTGTCTCATGACCTGATAGCTCGCTTTACCCATGGCGAGTAATGCAAGAGAAAGCGAGTGAGGGAAATAGAAGCTACAGACTTTTTATAACTGAATCTCCAAAGTGACTCTCATCATATTTGTTGTATTCAATTTGTTACATCAAGACAAAGGTTCTGGACAAGGTGTGGATAACAAGGGGAGGAATCATCAGAGGCCATCCTAAAGACTACTGTGTGCCTACTACATGTCATAGAAAATGCTTATTAAGTACTTGTCACATAAATTTAAAATATCTATCTTTTAACAATTTACTGTAAAGCATCTCAAAAATAATGAAACTGGAATGTGGACTTTTGATTAAACAAATTATACTTACGTTATTCTTGCTTATTTTGTACTGTGATTAGGTAAGTATGTTCTTATATTTAAGAAATGTACACTGAAGTCTCAAGATTAATAGGGGAAGATAGTTCAATATATGTACATACACACATAGAATAAGAGAGAGAGAGAGAATTAAAAAACAAACCAACGTAATGTAAACAATTGGTGAATTGAAGTTGTATTGTTTTTCTAGGGCTGTCATAACAAATGACCATAACTTTGGTGGCTTAAAACAACAGAATTTTATCCTCTTGCAGTTCTGGAGACCAGAAGTCCAAAGTCAAGTTGTCAGCAGAGATGAGCTCTCTCCAGGGGCTATAATGGAGAATCCATTCTTAGCCTCATTTAGCTTCTGGTGGCTGTCTGCATTCCTTAACTGTGGCCACAAAATTCTAACATCTGCCTTGTCTTCACTTTGCTACCTCCTCTTCTCTGTGTCCTCTCTTCTATCTTTTCCAAATCTCCCTCTGCCTTTGTCTTATAAGGACACTTGTCATTGAATTTTGAGCCCATTATCTCCTCATCTCAAGATCCTTAACTTAATTATACCCATGAAAGTCCATTTTCCAAACAAAATAATATTAGTAGGTTACAGGAATTAGGCATGGACATAGATTTGGGGGGCCACCAGTCAACCCACTACAGGGGTATGTAGGAATTTGTCGTACAATTTTTGCAACTTTTCCATAAGTTTAAAATTATTTGAAAGTAAAATATTTAAAAAAACAAAAAACAGAGATTACATTGTCAAATGCTATCTTAATCCAAAAATCATGGCATTGGACAAGCCAACTTCCTTCTAAAGATAAACTTAAAAATATGCACAGATATATCAAATCAGAATAAGGTATTTCATGAATTTGTGCTTCACGTTACTCACTCTTTGGAGTCAGTAGAGGTTATTTGATGTCAAAATTATCCACGTTCTCTGGCCTCTTAAACTTTTGCTTTAATCTTCTTAGAGCATTTAGGATATCAAAGGTCACTTTTATTTGAAAAGGAAAAACCACGTTCCCAATTGTACAATCTTTGCAGAAAAAACTAAATGAGGCTTGTTGTAATGTTCACTGCCACAAAATGACAACTTTTTCCCTGATAATAGGGTCTTGAAGCCCCCCCCAAAAAATATCGTTGTTTGTTTATTTGATCTATGATTAGTTTCTTTGTCTTCTTTTCAAAAATGTGTATTGATCTTAAGAATCATCCTTTTCGTCATTTCATAAGCAATCATTCAGCTCTAAATTTGGTTGCTTCTCACCTATATACTTAAATTAGCCTTATGTAGTACTTCCACTATGTAAAATCATAAATGAATGAATCCAATTGGATATGTGTGTACCAAATGATAGTCTGTTCTCATATAGCTGGAACCGTGAGGACCAAGATGAACATTTCATTGAAGCAACTACAGAAAAAATATGCACACGTACATGCGCAAACACAGTCACAGATACACACAGAATAATTGTAATCCTATACTGGCATAAATGGAATATCTAAAGGAATAAAGATGGAAGGCAAAATGTTTTACTAATTATAAGAATTAGCTGTTTAACAATTGAAACCAGTCACTTTAGTGTACACGATTTTCTTGAGGCTTTCAGGTTGTGTTTTTACCATTCCACGTCCAATGTCTAGCACATTGTTTATGTTAAGTTAATATTGGCTACATAAATGTATGTGTCATGAATGATTTAATGATTTAATTTACACAAGCCAAATATAGTCAAGCATAAATGCATTGAAGTTAAATAATCATAGGGATAATGGAAATTATAATCAAATGTATGTGTGTATGTGTACACATACATATGATTCTTTTTTTCTTGGACAGTCTTTAAGAATCACGGAGTCATAGACTCTGAAGCTGAAAGCAACCTCAGGTGGTCATCTGGTTCTATGCCTTTCTTCAAGAGACAACCAATTATTATCCCCATGATCTATTAAGCCACATTTTCTTTAGAATGTGACAGCGAAGGTGATGCTGATCGAAAAATATTGCTCTCCATTCTTAGACAATTTCACATGCACATAGATGTTTAACAAGTGCCTTTTTGGAGCTATTATGAGAAAACACTAGCATCCTTGGTCTGGAGGTGTAATTTATGACAGCTAGGGAAATGGTGTCCAAGATCACCTTGCTGACATTAGCTATGCGGTACCCCTACCCCTGCACTGCGAGTTTCAAAAAATATTGCTCTCCATTCTTAGACAATTTCACATGCACATAGATGTTTAACAAGTGCCTTTTTGGAGCTATTATGAGAAAACACTAGCAGCCTTGGTCTGGAGGTGTAATTTATGACAGCTAGGGAAATGTTGTCCAAGATCACCTTGCTGACATTAGCTATGCGGTACCCCTACCCCTGCACTGCGAGTTTCTTTAACCCTGGGGACAGGTGTGATAAAAGAAATAACACCACTGCAAGTCCTACTATAGTTGCTTGTACTGTTTGTTCTTCTGGTACCTACACCTTCCGATGATCTGTCAGTGAGTTAGCAGAGGAGGGAGTGATTGAGTGAGGGGCACAGTTCAACAGAGTCCTTGTGTCCCTTAGTCCCCTCCCCAACCTTTCTTCCCTTTTGGTTCATTAACTAGAAATGTGGAAAGGTGAGAAAGACAAATTTAACTTGTTCTGACATTAGTGAGGAACAGAGAGGTGGGGCAGCTTCCATAATATTTCTGTCCCAGAGAGAGGTAATTGGAAAACGTGTTGTGTGGTTAGGTATTGTAATGAAAAATAAAAGAAAGATCGAGAACAGTGGAATCAAATTATAAGCATAAGGCAAGTGGGCTGAAGTTTGTAGCCACTTGCTAAATTGAGAGATACTATCAGGATTGTGCAAATACATCATGCTGATTAATTTTCCTGAGGTGAAATATGAAAATATTTATAAAATAGAAAATCCTGCCATGAATAAAATTTTCTCTGTGATTATGATAAACTAAAATAAGCCATAACTTGTATCCATCTCATATGAAGTAGTAAAAATGGTTAAATAATAAAGAACTGAGTAAAAAGATTTGACTGTGAGAGTAAAAAGAATCCACATTTGAGCTTTACTCTAAATAGCTTAAAATGCTGAAGAATATTAAATAAAAGAAGTAAAGACTAAATTATATTTGAGGGTTTATTATATGATTTATAAATTTTTATGGAATTATATTTCATTGCTATTATTAAGATCACTTTTTCATATATACAAGCTATAGTTTTTCAATATAAAGGTAAAAGGTGTTCAAGTTCAAAAGAATTACGTCTTCAGCTTTAATGACAGGGAATAATTCAGTCATAATGCAGGAAGAATAGACTTTGATTCTAGTTTTTCTTTTCAGATGTGTGATGAAAGATTTAATTGCAGCTTCTTTGGTAAATTCCTTAAGAATATATTTGAACAAATCGTTGAAATAAAGGAAGGGTTAATTGGGGAAGAAACATCCTAATATACAAAGCTTTCTTTTATATGAAGCTCTAGAAATATTCTCTTGTCAATCCAAACAGAACCAACTAAAATGAGATAATTGGGAAGGTGCCCATAAAGTCAGCCTGAATATATTATCACAACTATACATGAGATAATATTTGTTTTAAAAAGATTCTATGGCACTGTAAACTCAGTCTCATTAGAGACTGCATTTAAAAGGCTTATAAAGTTACTCATTAATGTTATCTTGTTGTATCTCCACAGCTTTTTCATTAAAGAAAATTCAGCAGAAAGCATTTTCTCCTGATAGCAGGAACCAATTTGCAATAAATGTTCTGGAAACCACTAGGGAAGCCATTACTGAGGTCTAATAAAAACAGACAAGCGTAACTTATTCTATATTTTTGTTTCAATCACATACAGATGAGACCCCGCTTTCCACACCCACCGCAAGAGACAGCCTTGACAAACTTTCTCTAACTGGGCATGGACAACCACTGCCTCCAGGTTTTCCATCTCCTTTTCTGTTTCCTGATGGATTGTCTTCCATAGAGACCCTTCTGACTAACATACAGGTAGGTCTTTTTGCAATCTGGAAGAAAGAAACATAGAACACTTAGTTGTAGGTTTTTATGCAAAATTCTACTATTCCAACATTAAGTTGGAATGAATGAATCATTTGTGAGACTGACTGAACCACGGTATTACATTTTTTCAAGTAATTTAGTTTTTAAACTTGCTAAACTAATCAAATTGGTATAGAAATACTCAAATATGTATATTAAGTCATAACAAAAACTTAGATGAAAAGGACATGGGCATTTTAAAAATCATTTTTCTTAAATTCTTTTTTTTATTGTCAACTAATGAGAGGAATTTAACTGTTTATATTTGTCTAATTTGCTAAATGATGGCACAACAATTCTAATAAACATTTAGTTATTTTTAAACTGCTGACCTTCCAGTTAGGAAATGATATATTTAGTAATTTAAAATATGTCTAATGTAGAAGAATCCAAGAGAATCCCTGTTTTTTATAAATAAGTTTGTTTCAATTAATAAGATTCTTCAAAGAATAGACTTCAAAAAGCCATACAAAACTTTCCACGGATTTCCTATGTGGTCCTCAGGATGTATATTTTACGTACAGTACATTATGAATCAAAAATACAGTTAACAATAACATAGAGCATGGAGCCAAGATAATAAGAGTGTTTGGAAAGGAGAAAGCATAATTTTTTGCCCACACATGAAGTGATCATGTGGACCCCAGATGGAGATTTTTTTTCTTCTATTTCTCCATATTTGGAGTAGCTATTGGTAGGCACAGCTTTCAGATACTGTACTGGTAAGTTTCTTACTTAAAAAGTTTTACTCTGACTCTCCATCCTCAGTTAATTTTCTGTACACAAATCCTGTCATACTAAACTTTCTGCCAGTGGAAATGTAATTAATTTTATTTACCTCTCCAAGGACATAACAGAAGGCCTTTAATGTAACATATCTTCTCATCTATTAATATGGCATTTTTGATACTAATGTAATTAGAGTTAGCAGAACTGTATTCAACTTTAAGGCTTTATATCTCAGTAATTGAAATAAAGCATCAATCCAGACTAAACTTAGTGATAGCCAAATAGTAGGTTATATTTTAAAATAAACAGAAGCCTTTTTTTTCCCCTAAATTTCAGCCACATTATTATTTTCTATGAAATAGGGCTTTTAGTGACTTTCTCTTCTGTTAAATTAAACACTTTCAGAAAATACCCCTCAACGTTTCTGAATGTAAATTCTGAAAAGCAAGAAGACAATTTATTTTCTTATGTATACAACTCTATATGAAGGAAAGAAAATCTATTTGTATGTGTATATCTTCACTAACTCAAAGCTCTTTAACCATGACAGGGAGAATTTAATTTCAATTTCAGCAGAGTAAATATTTCTGGATTTCATCAGTGTAAACTAATGTGCTCATCTAAAGAGTTGGTTTTACACACACATTCTTGAATTATATGTGATTACCACATCTCAAAGTCAAATACTGTCACTTTGGGAGTATTCGTCCACTTCCTGTAGGCCAGAAATATTCAGGCTAATAATGTTATCTGCATCACCTCAAACTGTAATTATTTCTTTTTAAAAAAAAAAAGAAAGAAAGAAAAGTAAAGAAAACTCTGCTTTTAAAATATACAGCTTTTTGACAATTTATTTATTGAAGGTGGCTTTAAATTTAATATACTCTTCTTTTCAACCCTATGTCTTGAGGATGTATTTTAGCAAGAGTTAATGACAGAACAATAGTCAAGACAAAGTAAATTATATATTTATAGTCCATAATCATAGGGATGTCGGTCTGATAAAATTAGGACCCCTTCAAATAAGAATGCTTCATTAAAACAGTATGCTTGTCCACTTCAATCTTACATATATGTAGGTGTGTATGTAGATGCAATTGTTATATATTTATATGTACATACTTAATATATTTATGTACTTATGCATGTACATATGTGTAAATAAGATAAAATAAAGATTAAAAATATTACTGAGTTCCATACACAGAGATATATAAACACACACACAGGCATACACATACATACATATATTCATGCAAACACACACACTTATATAAACACACACATGCTTACTGGATTTATGGTCAGTAACGATTTCACGTCATTTTACAAAAGGTCGTAGCTTTTATTATTGCCACATTTATTGAATCATAGTAATATCCTAGGAATGGTATAGAATGTTTAAACAGTCATGACCCTGGCTTATTAGGCATACAGTATAAATGTGTTTGCTGTCCAAATTCTAATTTGGGTAATTACATTCTGCCTATCTCAATTTTCTCTACAGTTTCAATTATATACGATGGGGTTCTCTGCTTTCTTTGTCAAAATGGTAACATACTTTTTGTGTAGTAAGTTTAAAGCTCCATATTTTCTCTGAAGTTATTTTATTTTTTATTAAAATTAATTACCAAAAAATCTTTTAAAATAACTTGTTTAAAGTGCTATTGTTATAATAGTCAATAATTTAATTTTGTAGTGCACTGTAATTTGACTTCTGAATTTTTAAATTTGTAATGATTTACAGTTGTCTCTTTCATGACAACATTATGAAAATTGAATTTTCATAAATGTTATTTCTTTGTGACTTAAAAGAAGACCTGTTGAAAATATTATATTTATATATAAAAAATTGGTCACTAGCTTCTTGTTAAATAGTAGAGATACTGCTCTTAACACTTAAGTGTTTTAGAAATTAAAAGTAATAATGGATAAAGACATCTAAAAATAAAGGAGAATGATTTTACTTTAATGAGGGATATGGATACATTTCAGATTATGCTTTTATTAATTTTACATGGAATTCTATTTTTTTTTTTCAGTGTGGGCAATTTTTCATTATGGCTTCCTCATTCAAACAGGTCCATGGAGAACTCCCTGTGAGATTTTTTGTGACAAGACTAAAATTTTAGTATCACTTTTCTGGAAGTGACACCTTTGAACACTGGCTACCACTTAAACATGCTCAAAGAGCAACTCTACCTAATATTCTTAATATGAGCTTTCATGCTGTAAATCACAGCCAGAACGTTTTGGTACACAGGATTGTAAGCAAATTACTTCATCTTATTACAAAATGAAATAAAATGGCTTACAAGTGTTAAAATAAGAATGGATAAGTAAGGAAAAAGTGAAAATGTAAAATAAGGGGAAAGAATATAAAATTTTATTAAGGATGAGGTTGGCATTGAAAATATTTGCCATAAAGAGATATATGACAGGAATTTGGCTTGCTATGTTTGTCTACAAGGAGTAAATAAGCAAACAAGGAAGACCTAAATGGGATGTTGAAACCACAGTAAATGGTAGGACCAGATTGATACACTATGTTCTAATAAATGGACATCATCCAATTAACGTATCTAAGAAGTATTCTCTACTTCTGTGGTTGAGAAAACAAAATGAAAAAGAACTTAAGTATAAATGAATACTCTGGTTGTTCTTCTTAACAATCTACATTTCAATGTCATGGCTAATAATTTTACTTTATTTTTTAAGTCAATAAAAAATAAAAAATAAATTAATTAAAATAAGAAATTGTTTATTTGCATTATTAATATGTAATTTTAATTGTAACAAAGTTAGACAAAAGAATTAGGAGAAAACTTTTCAAAAGTCTTAACACAATAGGACTCTTCAAAATATACATAGGCTAAGATCAGATATATTGGTCTTGCATTATATGTTTTTATTATTAATTCTAATTATATATTTTGAGTTTTCTTCTCCCACTTAATAGTATTACCAGTTTCTTTAATAAGATCATAAAAAACAATAAAATATACCCAATATTCTAAACACAGTTTACTGTGATGAGAATAGTAATAACCTCTAAAACTTTAGCTATATACTATAATTATTAATTAATATCATATGCAGTAGCAATAACAGTAAAATTAATACTTAGTGAAAAATTTTAATGTGTCAGTCTCTATGCTAATTATAAACAATATTACACTGAATCTTCTTTATAGCCTTATGCAGTGGTTTTCACTGTTATCCTCATTTTAAATATGAGAATATGGAGGCAGATAGGGTCACACAGTGCTGGTGCTGGTGTCGTCTGGATTTAAACAGAGCCAGGCGGATTTCAGAGTCCATGGTGCCATATGGCCACAATGCTTGTATGAATCACAAGATGGCATTATACCTGGAAGTGCTTTTAAAGGGAAGTCTGTCATTCACTGATTTAGGAGAACAATAACCATAACATTAAACTAAGTATAGTTGTGTTTTTTGTTATAAGAAGTTCTGTAAAAATGCATCAGTTGGTACTGTACTATTGTTTTTGTTTTCTTTATTTTTTGTCAACAAAAATTCCTGGTTCCAAGAGATGCTGTTTCTTCTCACCCTGAAAAGAGACTAGGGGAACATTAAAAGAATTTATATATATATATATAGAGAGAGAGAGAGAGAGAGAGTACTGATCTAGGCTAGTCAATTTACTATTTGAAATCTTCGGTAAGTCACCTGATCCTTCTGGACCTTGATTTCCCCATCTTTAATTTTTTTTTTTTGGTAAGCATGGGTGATTTCTAAAATCCTCTTCCACTAGAGTATTTTACTCTCCTTGGAAGCAGCATATTACTGAGCACAAATTTTGTCACATGAGTTTTAGTGATACTCAAATCACCTTGCTCATCATCTGACTCTGAAATAAATTTGTATAACATACAAACACAGACTAAGTAAGCTTTTTCTCTAGGATCTACCTAGCTTATTAAGAAATGTTTCTTTCATACCGATACTATTTGAAATCCCTTGTACAAGCCGATATTTATACTTTTTAAGCTAGAGAAGTAGTAAAAACATTGCTAGATCAATTACAGTGTCCCTTTTAGTAAAGAAGAGAGAGCGACTTATTCTCTGAAAAATGATGAGAATAATTTAATTTACAAGGTAGGTCATTTTAGAAAGCAAAAATAGTTGTGTATCATGACAACCATCACACCTCACTTATGGAAAAGAAATTTGATGGCAATCAACCATTTTCTATTATCATTGTTGTGCCATAGAGTGAGTAAATTAAAAATTTTTTTTTAGAATTGTCATTATCCAACTTTGTCATCTTGAGAACTGACCTCCCTGTAGAGAAATATTTATGTTAAACCTTCTGTCTTTTGCTGTAATTCACATTGTCGTCACAGCATTTTGCTGGATATTGCATGTCCAAGTGAGACCCAGCATTTAATGTGTCCTTTTAGACATGATCTACCAGGAAAATTTACAGAAGTTACACAAATCTGAAAGTACTATTATCACTGATCGTTAAAATAGTGTCCTAATGGTTTGTAGATGTTGTGAACACTATTGGCTATTGCTGTTCCCAGCCCCCTGCTGCACTGAAATTTAATCAGTATTCTGTATTTTTTGCAGCAGAGCTGTCACTGGCAATAACATAATTTTGCATATGCATCAGTTTGGCTCTAGTGCAGATTTTTGTTCACACTGGACTCCTACTGTTGGGCACTGATTTGAAGTCTAAAAATTAAATTTAATTTTATATAGCTTATAAGTAGTCCCTAGAGGGTATTGGATCCTAAAAGCTAATATTTTTCAGACATAATCAGCAGGAATAGATTACCATTAGCCACGTTAGCAGCAACTGTAACAAAAAGAAACAGTAAACATAAATGCTCTTAGCAACTTCATTCTTTACAACGAATTTTAACATAAAATTACACAAATTAGAGTGCAGTTTAACATTATTCAACATGTTTATTCATAATGATTGTTTCATCTTTAAAGAACACCAAAATATTATGTTTTGTCAGCCAAGGACAATAATAGTTTAATAGTAATTTATTTTAAACAGCTACTGATAATACAACCAATCAACACATTAAGTAGTGCCAACATTGGCATCTTGCTAAATAATCTCTAGACATTGCACAGAGAGTACATCTTTCAAAGATAAGTCAACAAGAGCAATCAGAGCAGAAAATTAGAATTTGGTATCTTAGAATTAAAATACAGCTAAACTAAAGTTTTAATTGGGGTGATCTAAAAGGGCACTTGATGTAATGATCTCTTTCATTTGTTACTAATTGTTTGTTCCTGATGAAGAAGAAGCACACACAGGAATGTTCCTGAATTAGTTAAGATGGAAGTTGCCTTAACAGCTTACCATGGTAGGCGGAAGTAAGGGTACATCACTCTTGGGCTTACAAGTCAAGCTGGAACTGAAATTTCTGATTCAAACTGCTCATGGTGTCTCATGCAAGGGGGTCCCATCCTCAGGTACATCAAAATGTGGTGTCAGCTTCCATTTCATTTATCATTTCAGTGGAAAATCTTAGCTGCTGCTACCTACAAACCAAGGCAAAATATCTTCTATTTCAAAAAGACATTTCGTATTGCTGAATTGATGAGAATAGAATTTTTAGGTCTAATTTTTACTAGTAACTTTGGTCCAGAGCATCTTAGGAGAGAAAACACACAGAATACTTTCTTCATGTTTAATATATTCTCATAAGCTAATTTTCAAAAATCTCAAAAATACCACTAAATTTTAAAGCAGTGTACAATGAGTTAAATTATATGTGTGTGTGTGTGTGAGTGTGTGTGTGTATATATATATATATATATATATATATATCCATAATTAGCTGTATGAATAAATAAAATTTGTTTTCACCATTCTCTTTTGAATTTGTAGGGTGTCAAAAAACTTCCTTAAAGTTATTCTGTTTATTACAACCATTTTGAATGACTTTTTTTTTTTTGTCTTTTTCGTGACTGGTAAGGGGATTGCAACCCTTGGTGTGGTGTCACCCGCACCGCACCGTGCTCAGCCAGTGAGCGCACCGGCCAGTCCTATACAGGATCCAAACCCTCGGCGGGAGCGTCGCTGAGCTCCCAGCGCTGCACTCTCCCGAGTGCACCATGGGGTGGCCCTTGAATGACTTTTTATAAAAATAATGTACTATTAATCCACTGTTTTGAATCCTTTAAACATATATCTCTGGCGCACTGGAGAGCGCGCCGCTTGGGAGCAAGGGTTTGGATCCCATGTGGAGACTGGTTCCCGCTCACTGGCTGAGCGCGGTGCGGGCGCAACACTGAGGGTTGCGATCCCGTTGCCGGTCAGTAAAAAAAAAGACAAAAAGGAAAAAAAAACAAAAAACAAACAAACAAACAAACAAAAACAAAAAAACATATATCTCAAGAAAAATATAGCAGTATTATAATTTCTATAAATTTTGAAAATCTACTGTATGCTAGGCATTTTCTGCACCCTGGGCACATGGAGAGATAATGTCCCTGCCTCAGACAGGTTAGATTTTAGTAGAGGAGAAACAACATAAATCAGTAAATAAATAAATATAGGACAGTATTCCATAATGCTAAATGCTATGAAGAATTTTCAGAAGGGAGTAACTAGATACATTCGGAGGGCCCTTCCATAGGTTGATAAAAGAAGGCCTCTCTTGAATGGTGACTTTGAGCAAAGATGAAATGAAATGAGGGTATATAAGCCATGCAAAGATCTGGAGGAAGGACATTCAGGAGGAGAGCAGAAAGAGTAATGTCCCTGGGGCAGAAACAGATTGCTGCATTTAGGAACCAAAAGAAGACTACTGTGACTAGTGTAATCTTGGCAGGGAGGGGGAGAATGAGCTTTGACAGAGAGGTGAGTGCTGCCATGACCATGTGGGGTTGCATGAACCATGTCAGTTAATTACTTGTGGAAGAGTTTCAGCCTAATTTTTTTCTCATTTTTTTTATTTTTTAGACCCACTTATGTGCTGCCTTCATTTAGCTTTGGATCTGGATATTCTAATAAGAAGCATTTGAACCTGCATACCATAAATATTTGTCTTTCTAAAATGTTTTAATTAGATTTAGAAGTTTTTTGCTTTAGCTGTATGTAGTATTTGTCCTAGTGAGTGCAGGGTGAATTAAAAACAAGAACTAAAGAATTTGATAAATGGATTCTTCTCTTTTAGAATGCTTTTAAGTACTAACTGAAATATGCATTGTACCAAAATATTACCATTCTGAATGCCTTCTTTGTACAGGGGCTCTTGAAAGTTGCTATTGATAATGCCAGAGCTCAAGAAAAACAGGTCCAACTGGAAAAAACAGAGCTGAAGATGGATTTTTTAAGGGAAAGAGAACTAAGGGAAACACTTGAGAAGCAGTTGGCTATGGAACAAAAGAATAGAGGTATTTCTAAACTTCCAAATAAGTTTAATGCTTTAAGTAAAATATTCGACATAATAATACTGTGTTTGGTGATGTACTTTGAGACTGTAGCTTTTTTGTTAATTTACCTGTAACTAAAGTTCAGAGCAGAATTTGAATCCTGGGCTCATTGTATTTCTTAATCTCCAAAATACATGTTTTCTTTTCAATTCCTACCTCAGGGAATTGAAATATATGTGTTATATCATTAATCATATAATTTTTATTGCTTATAGAGTTTAATGAATTCATATTCTTTAAGGTAAGAATGAGCTCTGATGACAGATGCGACAAAGATTTTTATGTTCATTCTCAATGGTCCTTTGAAAAACTTAAGAGTTAAAGTCATAAAATAGAAAATACTGATTATTCGAGCGAAGCAGGTTTAGTGAGATATTTATCAACTGAAATTGAAGACTGATGAATATCTGAACAAATGACGAAAGTTAAGTGTTGGTATAATTTTCTTTCTGAATGCCTCATTTTCATCTAACAAGGTCAAGCACACAGAATAGAAACTGATATGAATTCTTATTGGGTAATAATAACAATATTGATCTGTGAATTGCTTTTTTTACACACACTATGCAGTACATCTATGGATAATTTTGAAGGTCATTCGTATCTGTATGTTTATTTTATGTATGAATTTGAAGAGTATTTTCTTTACAACAAACTCTCCCTTTGCCTCAAATATAAGATTCTCCTAAGTATTCTAGAAAACCTGGAAACTTCTTTTCTCTCGTATAAGTACATAAAATAAATGCTCCACATATTCTCTTTTTATGTTAGACATGGTCATTTAAAAATCATTTTTTTCTATTTTGCTTTTAAAACTAGTAGGACTTACCAGGTGGTTTCATGAGTTATTGTGAAGCAACAGGTAGTGGGTTTCCGGGGTGAGGTTGGTTTGGGGAGCTGTCACCTCCGGTATATAGCACAGTTCTAAATAATGCACTTCACAGAGACTTAGGCACTAAAATAATCAAAATAATATAAACATTGATAATGAATGTGCTCCTAGTCAATTTGGAAATTTGGTCAAATAGTCCAGTCTTCCATGAGATAGCCATGTCTTGATTTCTCACCTAGGGAAGTCTTTTTTTTTTTACAAGACTGAAAGGCAAGCCCTTGAATTCCTAATGGAACACTTTGGTTACTTGAGGAAGTTATTGGTTCAAACCTGTTGGCATGATTTAAATTCTGTTTTATTCCTTTAACCACTAGAGGGCAAAACATTCACAGATCACACCATGAACTTCCCATTTAATTAATTTTAAACAGTAAAGGTAATAATTATCAATACTTATCTATTATGAATGTGTCTATTGAAACAATATGTTACCCTGAAGAGAGAACATCGTAATCCCATTTGGTTCAATTACGTAGGAGGACAGAGTGAGCAGTCAGTGTGCTGGGTACTGGGCTTTTAGAGCTATGTGCTAATTGAGCTTCTGGGAGTGTATAGTCTAAATAAATATTTCAGAAATTACTGTATCTTTTCAAAGAGACTTATAAACAACCATTTTTGGAAAGGGAAATAGTAAGCAAGTATTTTCGTTATAAAGTGAGCATATGATTTTCACATTATTAAATAAAAGAAATTCGTATTTATTTTAAATCAGTTTTAATTATTTTTCTTATAAGACTGTAGCAAACGTACATTTTGATAAAAAAAAGTGCTTTTAAAAAATATGTGATACAGCAATAAATTTGACATATTAATGGGCTGTCACCTTAACAATATTAATAGTGATAAAACAGAATATATGGAAATTAGAAATTGAAACTAAAATACTTACTTGAGCCATTATTACCATATTTGATACTTTGACTAAATATATTGTGTTAAAAGTGTTGTTGTTCTTTAATCTGTAGTAAGAAATCAAGAGTTAACTTGGAACGATTGCTCTTCATGACTAACAGAAAAATTTTCGGGCCGGCCCGGTGGCACACTGGAGAGTGTGCTGCGGCGCTCCCGCCAAGGGTTCGGATCCCATGTGGAGACCGGTTCCCGTTCACTGGCTGAGCGTGGTGTGGGTGCAACACAGAGGGTTGCGATCCCGTTGCCAGTCCCCGGTACGGGCGCGACACCGAGGGTTGCGATCCCGTTACCGGTCAGTAAAAAAGACAAAAAGGAAAAAAAAAAAAAGAAAAATTTTCTCATCCTGGTTCTGTCACATTAACATCCACAATGTTTAGCAACCATCAAAAAAGATGATTTTAAATAAAAACATATGTATATACTTCCCATATGCTGATTAGTTACCCTTTATAGTAAGAATTAAAACATTTATCATGCCAAAAGTATAGTTAATATACATTTTATGAAGAACATTTATTTGTTATTATTTATTGATTACATACTATATACAAATATTAAATTTCCAGTAGGAGAAAAAAGTATCATAATCAACTTTTTGCACTGTTATCTACTTTTTTATATAAAAGGCATGCTATTTTTATCACTAGCACATTATTATTAGCAGTGAGGTTCTATACACCACCAAATTCCTGCAGAGGCAAAGTATAATGATTTTCTTAAAATATGATATAGTGCTGTAAATATGCCATGAAGAAGTTATTCTCTGAGAAAATTATGATAGCTTCATCCAAAAAAAAAAAAATTCTGCTTGTATATGTTAGCAATAATTAAGAGTATTTTTTTCCTCATATACAGGAAATATTTACTGAATTTTCTAAAATTTCAAGAAAGAATTATTAAAAACCTGGTTGATATAATACTGTTTTCCAGAGGGTTTGAAGGGGAAATGCCCCATTTGCTACTTAAATTGACACCTTATAAGGCATGCTTATAAAGGTTTGCAATACTCAGACTACTCTGCACTATTCTGATTCAAGAGCAGAGAACTAAGCCACAAAATTTATTTAATCAGGCTTCCTTTATCAGTGAGTATAGGTATTTAGTAAAATTAGTTTTCCATTAAATTTATCTCTACATATGACAATTAAAGGCATTCTTGTAATAGTTCAAGGATAAAATAAAAATTGGCCTCCTTGGACATTTTACTGGGAATTATTTTAGGTAAAAGTATTTTTTTTTCCTTTATCTTTTTTTTTAACTTCCTGTGTGTAGTAGGTAGACTCATTCCAGCACTAAAAAAATGAATAATATAAAAAACATAATTGATTTGTTAATTAGCAACATTGCAACATTTTTGAAAAAAATAATATACATAAACTGTTTTCTAGCCATAGTTCAAAAGAGGCTAAAGAAGGAGAAGAAGGCAAAGAGAAAATTGCAGGAAGCACTTGAATTTGAGACAAAACGGCGCGAGCAAGCAGAGCAGACACTAAAACAGGCAGCTTCGACAGATAGTCTCAGGGTCTTAAATGGTAAGAAGGTGTATATTTATGCATGACTAACTTTCATTTTTAATACTCAAAGGACAATTTAGACGTGTGTTTGTGGTTTTGTATATTTCTGCATATTGTGATTCATTCAACTATGCTTGTAGCTGAAAACATGGTGGGAAGGATGTTTTGGGAGAAACGCTTTATTTCATAGGTGCTTCTACCGTTTTCTCACTTAACTCCAGGATCTGGGACATAGCATTGCTTCTCTGTTGAACCAGATCTGTCTCTACTGAAACATGATAAAATATAAATCTGAGAACTTCCTAAGCCCCATCCTATTTTATGAACAATGTTGCATTACTTATTTATCTATTCAAATCTTCTGGAAATCCTTATGGTTGTAGTTTCTGTTCAACCGTTAAAAGAAGACAAAGATTTATGTAATTTTAATTCAGCACCAAAGTAACAGGTTGCTCTTTTTTTAAAAAAGGACAGTAAGAATCAAATGAAATATGTGTCACTCTTACCTTTCTGTGCTTTTAGACTCTCTGACCCCAGAGATAGAAGCTGACCGCAGTGGCGGCAGAACAGATGCTGAAAGGACAATACAAGGTAGGAATTTGCAGTAGGCCATAAATCTAGATCTTGCTATATGAGTTTTTCCTCAGCTTTAGCCTGCTATTCAAGCATGTAGCCTACCATCTGGGCCACATCAAAACAAGTTCAAACAAGGTCAAGTTCATCTTGCTTGTTTATATGAGTGAATTTATTTTGTGCTGATAGATTTTCTTTAAATTAACAGGTCATTTCTGTTTATACAATGCAATTAAAAAGGAATAATTAATTTTAAACAATGTATGATTTAATCTTGAACACAGTAAATGCATTTTATTGAATGTTTGAAGCCCAATATAATTCAAGAACGGTTTATAAGTTTTATACTGCATAAATAAAACCATGAGTTAATCAAATAGGTAATTCTCAAAATTTAAAAATATCTAACTACTCATTTTTGTGACAGTTACTGCAAGGTACATGTGAAATGAACTAGTTGAATGTGAACGATAAATAAGATTGTTTAGTTCCTATGTGGATTTTCCAAATGCCTTGTATGCCATTGTATATGTTTTAATAACACAGTTCTACTGAGCAAAATCATATATAGAATACTAACGGGAGTTGTATTAAATACTCAGAAGAGCTAAATACATATGTTGCCAAGACCACATTGTTAGGAAGAACAAAATCTGAAGGTAGCATTTATAGTCAAACATCAGTTCTAGACAACAAACAATTCTAACAACATGAATCCTGAACAGTAAAAAGAGCATTTGTTCTCTATTTTAAATAAAGATTATTCTTCAAAGGGAAGCCTAAAATGATTAACTGCCATAATCCTCCCAGTTGCTTTTATTTTGCATTTTAAACTCAGTCACTTTTAGGATATTGTGTGACATTAATTTGTTTTCTCATCAGCTCTAAAAGTGTCATTCTTGGCTTAGTTTATAAAGGAAATATATTTTTGTAAAGTATTATATGTGCAATAAGTAACAATCAGAAACTTGAAGGAACGTTCTTGGGGAAAGAATGTTATACATTTTGGCCTACATTTATTTTACCTGAGGCCATGATAATTAGTTTTTAAATCCTAAGGCTTTAGCCATATGCTATTATGAGACATCTCCTTGGATGTGCAAGATTAATGTAATTGTAGACGTAGAGAAGATCTCAATTTTTTTTTTGTCTTTTTCCGTGTCTGGCAACGGATCGCAACCCTCAGTGTCACCCCCGTACCGGACCGGGACCGGCAACGGAATCGCAACCCTCGGTGTTGCCCCCGCGCCTCGCTCAGCCAGTGAGCGGGAACCGGTCTGTATGTGGGATCCGAACCCTCAGCGGGAGCGCCTCCGCGCTTCCCAAGCGGCACACTAGCGCAGTGCGCCACCGGGCCGGCCCGAGAAGATCTCAATTATTAGAGCATTATAGATTTCAACGTTTGTGTGTGTGTATGTATCATTAAAATCATAAGAATTCTGTTGTATTTTGTACAAGTTACATAATTACTATTAACAAACAGGCAGTCCTCATAATCAGGAAAGATAACCTCAATAAGGCCAATGTAAATATCAGCCCCGATTTGTATGTGCGGGAACTACTGATGCACTAACTTACATAATGTGGTCTAAGGAAGCACACGCACCTCCAGGTGGGTGTGATATGTAAATTATCTGGTTTACACAGAATCCTTAAGGTGGTCTGAACTCAATCCAGAAAAAATTATAGACAATATATTCCTGCATATAAATGAGAGGTTAATTATTAATATTAAGAAGTGGTTAAGCAATGATTAAACACTTTTTCATAGTTGACATAGTATGTATGCCATGAGTTCGAAGTGAGCAACATGTGGTCATTAATAAGGCTATGGTTGTTTTTATTTGAATTTGTAAAATTTATATATATTCATATATATAGTTTAATATTGGCAAAGTCTTACTGTACGAGGTTGAAATATTGACAACTCTCAATTTCTATTGTTGTGATTTGCTTATTCTGAAGGAAAGTGTTAATCACTAATTGCCTTCCTTTTGAAATTCAGAATGCTATAAGTTGAGTAACACAGTAAACCCATCCAAACACCTTCATGATTAGGGAAACAAAACATTTGTACGACAGTTATACATAGTAATTTAAAGCCAAATATAAATTATAGGGTTCTTTTTGCTTCTAATTTTATACAAAATCTTTATTCACTTCATTCATTCACTTACTTATTCAGCCTGTCAATTATTGTATTGTTCAGAATGCACGGTAACTTTTCAATAAAACACTTTTGTAATATGCATGATTTTATTAGATAATATGATTTTTCTCCAAATATAATAAAAAACCCACTGTAGATGAATTTATTTCTAGCTGTTAGCTGCTAAAAAGATATTTTACCAGCAGTCGGACCATTCTAAAAAACTTTTAAAATAGCAGAGCAAAGAGGTCATCTTTTGCTACTCTTTAAATAAGCTCACTTAACCTTTTCAATGTTTTTTTTTTCTAATCTTAGACTAAATTAATACATTTAGAAACTAACAAATAGAACAAAATTAGCTGTGAACAGAGAAATCAAAGAAAAAAGATTATTTGATTAAATTCTCTGTAAGTACAAGAATGGGAAAGGCGAAGAAGAAAGGATTAGAACTTATTACTAATTTGTGAACTGGCATATATCACGCATTTTGGGAGCCTGAACATGTGCTGCTTCAGAATGACACAACATAGCCCTTTGTTCCCTTCACTTTTTCTCTCCCAGCATCCCCAAGCCCAGATGTTACAATGCTCTTTGTATTCCTTCTTGCTCCCAATCTAACAATAACTGAAATTACTTTCTATTCCAAAATTAACTCAACTTTTTAGGAAAGACAAAATAACCCATAATTTTTTATGCTTGTCATGTATTTCTTTTTAACATTTGACAATAAATAAATGGCACACTTGGTCCAAGAGTCACCTGGAAGCTGGACACTTAAACATTGCTCAAGTGCCAAGTAATTACCCCCAAATAAATACCTAAGGTTAGATTAAATATTGCCTCCTTGGCAATTTGTAACACCATTTCTATAAAACTGAAGAGGTAGGGAAGAAATCAGAAAGCAATTTAGAAAATATTCCTGAGGAAAGAGACCCTAAATAATTTGCCTTTGTTTCTTGATAAATAAATCAGCTCATAATACGCAGGGATAAATTTGTCATTGCTCATATTTATAATAACTGATCAAAATTAATGAGTTTGGAAGTGATATTATGAATATAGAATAAACATCTAAAATTTTAAGAACAACAACTTGTTGCAGGAACTGAATTGTATGATGATTAACTCTCTATGCCTTACATCTTACAGACTTATATGTCATGATTTGTGCTGGAATTTGGAAAGTTGATCCTACTTTGAAACTTTTACTAAGATATTTTGTGTACATATAGTAGACAGGGTTCATAATAAACACTCATTGAACAGTTTTTTTGGCTAGTCAGTAAATATCCTCCAAAACCCCTTCTGCCCGTACACATATAAATGCACATACACGCACTGTATGTAGACACATCTCTAAAATGATGCCTTTATTTAGTTAAGCCCAAGTCTTATTTAATTTTCTCTCCTTAGGCAATGGCATCTGCTTAATGATTTCTTTAACTCATATATTTTGACAATTGATAAAGATATCTTTCCAACCCATTGGGACATCTGTCAGGAGTTCCAGATAATACTCGTAATATTCAACTTTTTATTTTGCTGTCTCACAGGGACCTCAAAGTTCAGTGCACAAAACCAAAAGTATCCTGCTCTCTCCACAAACCCGTCTGTCTGCAATAACCCATCTTTCTCCAACGTTCCTTCCCGGTGGTACCTTTTTCCATCCAAAATCCCGTACTTTCCTTAATATGTAATGAGGGAAGAATGCATCTTGACATAGTGTTTTCCATAGTGGCTCTGCTAATTTACAGTTCCCTCTCTCACTTCCACGCCCTCTACTCCTAATCACAACTCTTCCCCCTCAATCTCTGTGCTCCTATTATACTGGAACTATTTTTGAAAGTCTCGCTTCTTTCTCCGCCTACCAGGGACAATTTCTCCTTGTTCTTGACATTACTTAACCACCCTTTAAGCCTTAGCTTAAAAGTGACAGCCTCTAGGAACACTTCCCGGACTCCTTTCTCTTCCCCTTAGTTAGCACCTCCCTGACCGCCCCCCCACTCCCATGACTAGTTCTGTCTCTTAGGAGTTCTTACCACACCATTCATTCCTCCACAGAAACATGCTGTGTATTTGTAGTTCTTTTTTTGGTCAGTATTTGTGTATAGTGTATGATGATCAAATTAATATTAGCATGTTCATCATTAAAATCATAATTACTTTTTGTGTTCCTTATCTGATTCCTCCCTATACCCTTTCCCCCTCACCGTTTCCCAATTCTAGGAACTATAGGTCTGTTCTCTCCTTCTGAAATTTCAGTGTTTTATTATGGTCTTTCATTCTTTCTTTGTTTCTTAGCTCCCACTTATGAGTGAGGACATGTGGTATTTTGCTTTCTGTGCCTGGCTTATTTCACCTAACATAATTATCTCCAAGCTCATCCATGTTGCTAGAATGGCAGAATTTCATTCTTTTTCATGGCTGAGTAGTATTCCGTAGTGTGTATATACCACATTTTCCTTACCCAGTCATCCATTGGTGGACATTTAGGTTTGTTCCATATTTTGGCGACTGTAAGTAGAGCCTTGATAAACATGGGAGTGCAGGTATCCCTTTGACATGATGATTTCCATTCCTTGGGTATATACCCAGCAGTGGGATGGCTGGATGGTGCAGTAGATCTATCTGTAGTTGTTTGAGAAAACTCCATAGTGTTTTCCATAGTGGCTGTGCTAATTTACAGTCCCACCAACAGTGTAGGAGGGTTCCCCTTTTCTTTATATCCTCACCAGTATTTTTTATTCTCAGTCTTTTTGATAATAGCCCATCTAGCTGGGGTGAGATGATATCTCAATATGTTCAACGTCTTCTTCTCTCCATGGTAGCTGGGACAGAAAGGGGCCATCCCTGTTTTGTTCACTACTGT